TGTGTGTGTGTGTGTGTGTGTGTGTGTGTGTGTGTGTGTGTGTGTGTTTAGGGCAATGGCCATAGAAGATATGATTCAAGGGTTAGGGCAAAGGTCACAAAGAATTTTTATGTTCCTATGAGTTGCCCTGCCATCCCCCAAAGATGCTGGAATTACATAATTTCTAATATCTGTAACCAAGAATTTATTTGCAAATGGTTTTTGCAGATGGTTGTTAAGGGGTGGCCATTAGAGGGGGCCCTGGACAACCTGAGCCGTATCTTATGGAAAGGGGAAGTCTGGACACAGACACGCTGAGGAAAAGTGATCCAAAACCACAGGAAGAAGGCTTTTCCCTAGCCACAGAGTGCTAGAGGCTGAGTGAGGACAGAGGCCTGGAAAGGGATCTCCTCAGAAGGAACCGAAGCTGCTGACTGTGGTTTTAGACTTCATGTCTCCAGATCTGTGAAATGATAAATTTCTGTTCCTCCAGCCACTTAGTCTATGGCTTGGTTGAGGCAGTCCTGGAAATCTAAGACTATGCCAAAGAAAGAAAGTGGATTTGGTGCCCAAGTAAAAGAAAATCAACTGGAGGGCTCCGTATGAGAGAGTCACACTGTGGTCCCCCTGCAAGTTAGAAAGAAAGGAACATCTCAACCCTTCAGCTCTTGCTGAGGACCCGAGTTCAGTTCCTAGCACTGACTTCAGTTCCTAAAGCCCACATTGGCCAGCTTACAACTACCTGTAATTCCAGTTCTAGGGGGTGTGACACCCTCTTCTGAGCTCTGAGGGCACATCACTCAGTGTGCACACCCCCAAGCACAGGTATAGACTTTTAAAAATAAGAATAAGAATTTTGTCAATGTTCTAGGGCCTCGGCTCATCCCTGATAATGCAAATTGCTCTCTGGAGATTTGCCTTCAAGCTGTGGAACATTCTGGTTTACTCAGTTTTATTGGTGTGGCTACAGACACAGAAGCAGACTCAACTGTATTCATTAAGAATAACATTTGTGTCTATATTTATTGCCCTACATTGTCTCTTTCGGCATCCTGGACCAGAAACAGAGAACATAGTCCTGGTGAAAACTAGATTCATGCCAGTCGGGAATGACGTGTGAATCTAGAGAGAAAGGACCCCAGTGTCTTAGGTTGTCTTTTTTTTTTTTCTTTTGACTTGTCTCAGTTAATGGCTATGAGAATTTCATGCTTCATCATTCTGTAGTCGCTATTTAAGATCTGCACAGACGTAGATCATTTCTTTTATAACCATCTTTCAATTTAGAGAGAGAAAGAGAGACAGAGACAGAGTTGGCTAATGTAGAGATTGGAGATCTCAGGCGGCAAAGTTTTTCTGGAAACCAAGAGCTCAGTCCCACCAGGAGCAGCTTCCTTTTTGTGGCTTGGAAAACACAGCGTTTAGACTAGATAGTATTTAATAAAAAATCTCCATTCTGTGTTTGACTTTGTATCATGCAATTTATTTACTGTGTGTTCTTGGGCAAGTTACCAACTATCTAAAAACTCATAATTCTGTTCTCATATTTAGAAACCAAGGTTATATACTTATATGTTCCATATTCATGATCACATTTCTAAATGGATATGAAGTTATTGACTAAAACAGCAAAGAAATGTATGTTATAGCACAGATAGTAGTTACAAATTCATTCCTCTGCGTGACAGGTTTAAGGTCCGTAGAAGATTTCTGTATGTGTTGTGAGGCCCTTAACACTCCTCTACAGATGAGCACAGTGTGGAAAGCAGGGCTGTGCTCTGAGCACTTCTGGAAAACACTACAGATATGAGATTAACTTTATGGCTACAGACACAGAAGCAAACTCAATTGTATTCGGTAAGAATAACATTTTTGTCTACATACAGTAAAAGGGCAATGATATCCCTGTGGGTTCACAGAAAACCCCTGCTTTTTCAAAAACATTTGATTCAGATTTCACTATTGGAATGAGAAGACTAAGAAACTGGGTAAGTTTCTTGGATCACTTTGGTTTGCTCATTTAGTACCAGGCATCATTCCTATGAGCAGCTTCTCGTCAGATTCACAGTCTACACTCCCCCAAATAAAGCCGTTCTTGTACCTGCAGCAAGCACTCCAAGACAACCACCTTCCCCAGAAGACACTGAAACCCATGATGGCCCAAGTCCCTTATATAAAATGGTATTGTCTTTGTAGACCTACACACCCATAATGGCATCACCTTTGTATACCTGCACACCCTTCGATGCACTTTAAGTCATCTCTAAAGTTCCCCATAGTACTTGGTACAATGTGAACGCTGTGTAACTCTTTTGTTGCATAGCACATTCTGGGCTGCTGAGGTGGCTCATTGGTTAACAGCACTGTCTGTTCTTTCAGAGGTCCTTAGTTCAATTCCCAGCAACCACATGGTGGCTCACAACCATCTATAAAAAGGGATATGATGCCCTCTTCTGGCATGCAGGTGTACCTGCAGACATAGTGCTCATGCATAAATGAATACATTTTTAAAAAGAGTTGCTATATTATACTACTTGGGGAAGAGTGACAAGAAATACTGAGCCTGGTATAGAAATACTGCACTGGTATAAACACAGTGGGGTAAAAAAGCAACTTTGGGGAAGAAAGGCTTTATTTCATCTTACCACTTTATAGTCTCACATAGAGGAAAGCCAGAGCAAGAAAGCCAGGGCAAGAAAGCTAGGCCCAAGGCAGGAAGCTGGAAGCATAAACTGAAGCAGAGACTATGGAGGAGACTATGCTTACTCACTGGCTTGCTTCCAAACTCATAATCAGTATACATTTCTTACAGAGCTCAAGCTCACCTGCCTAAGGATGACGCTGCCCACAGTAGACTGCAACTTCTACGTCAACCAGCAACTGAGAAATTGCTCCACAGATGCGCTCACGGGCTAATCTGATGGAGTCAATTCCTCAAATGATGCTCCTCTTTCCCAGGTGGGCCTAGCTGACAAGCAAGATTAGCTACTACACTTGGAGATGTGTGGGACAGATAGAGTATTTCCACAGTGCTAGAGATCAAACATAAGGCCTTCCATACATTGAGCCCTTGCAGAGCTTCTGTACTGAGCTATACTCCTGGGCCATTAAAACAACGCTTTTTTGTTCATGATGGGTTTGAATGTGCAATTGATTTGAATGTTGAACCTTTGGACACAAAGAGCTGACTGTGCTTGATATGCATGGAAAATTCTGGATGACGCTAATAAAGTATGTGTCTTGACTGGCAGTGAAGACACTTTCCTGTCCATTCATCTTGTTTATTCTGTAATGAGTATTCCAGTGTGGATTACCCTTGAGTGCAGTCACCGCCATGTGGATGTGAGGCAACAGGAAGAGACTTCCTTGTGCTGTTTCTGGGCCCATCTTTGCCTGACAGCATGAAGCCACGAGCCTTTACTGCATTATCCCATCTGAATCCAGAATGATGTCTCTGAGAGCAGCCTGGAACTTCCTAATATTTCTGACGGATACCAGCAAAGTCAGAGATGTAGGGATGGACAAAACCGCTACGTCATCTTGTTGCAGGTTTTACCAAGCCAGAGACATCTGATCAGGCCTCCTCCTGAGACACTCCAGGTTAGAGGACAAGGCTCATGAAGGAAGAATACACATCTCTAGGCTGCAAAGAACCTGGTGACCTGGGTGGTTCAAACTCCTTGATCCTCAAGAAAATGCACCACAAACAATGACGCTCACAGGCCAATCTGATGGAGGCAACGCCTAATTTGAGCCCCCACTTCCCATGTGACTGTAAATTGTGCCAAGTTGACAAAGACTAAGCAGCATAGAAAGGTAGCAGCATACAGTAGGAAGTAGGCCACGGAGTCATCCACAAATGCAGATGAAGCTCCTGCTGTAAGACCATGTGCTTTCCCTCCCTTAGGTGCTGTCGTCAGAGGGAGATGTTCCTCTGAGGAGACTAGCGGGAAGAACGGAAAGCACTGGTCGATTGCTATCATAGCAGGCCAGTTCATGTCTATTAATGTTTGATGCAAATGAAAGTCAGGCTTGAGAGGAATTCTCACCATTTAGTTGACCTTGAATGTACCCCAAAGAAACTGGGACCAAAGCATAACTTGAGCAGATGAGAGCTCTGAATGGCCTGGCTGATCTGCTTTGATGAGTCTGTGAGTCTCTATGCGCAGTGAGTTTCTCTTTGAAAGGGGGCGTTACTGTCCAGAGAACATTTCTACCCTAGCTGCACAAGACAGCACCTACCTGGGCGGGCAGGGCTCCGTGTTACAGGCCTGACTCATCGCAGGAGGGCGGTGAATCATGTCACACAGGCTATCATTGACTGTCTGCTGGGTCTGGATGTGTAAGCACACAGCTATGGCTTCTTGATGGCCTGGAAGGCAGAAAGAGAAACAACACGTACACAGAATAACTTGTCACACAAAGAAAGGAAACAGGGTCTTGGGTCTTACAGCACCAGCACATGGACTTCTTGACTGCCCCAAAAGCCGTCTATGAGCAAAGCTTTACTCTCCAGCCCTTACTACCCCTCCGTTCACCTCTAAACCCAGTCCCTCTCCTCTCTCTGCCAAAGTCTACTCCCTGGAAACATTCAGGAGCAGCCTCTACCCACAAGCACCTGTTTCCTAAGGGGCTGAAAGCTGGGTGCGGCCTCAAGGTCATGGTGCTGCCTCCCATGGCATACAGCAGCTGTCCTGAGGGAAAACTACATCTTCTGCTAAAGATTATCATTTTTCTTAGATCACCACACACCGCTAAACATTTCCCTGCACTGTTCCTGCAACTAGTGATGCTTCTTCCGTACGCAGAAATGTCTCCCATAGCGCAAGTGTGTAAGATCCCTCCATCCAAGTGAACAATAGCCTGCGAGGCCAAACAAACAGCATCCAAGTCTCTATTTCATTTCTTTAACAATAAGGAATTTGAAATTCAGAGAGAAATTAAGACTGAAATGGTGGTGGGTTAAAAACTGAAGACTGGGCCTGGGGAGATGGCTCAGTAGCTAATGTGCTTGCTGCACAAGGGTGAGAACCAGAGTTTAGATCCCCAAACCCAGGCAAATGCTCAGTGGGTGTGGCCACTCATCTGCACCCCAGCCTCAGAGGCAGAGAGCTGGGGTGCCCACAGCAAGCTGCCTGGGAAGCTAGCCAAATCGGATCCATGTGCTCCGGGTTTGACTGAGAGACTCTGCTTCAGTGGATGAGGTGGCTGACTGATCAAGGATGGTTCCTGACATCACCCGGGGCCTCTACAGTTATTTCCACATGTGTGTGCACAGACATGTGCAAACATGAACATAAACATGCATAACATACACAAACATACAGACACACAGACAGGCACACACACTTACACACGAGGAATGAAAAGATAAAAATAGATAAATAGGTGAAAAAAAAAGAAAACAGGAAGAGTAAGTTCCCTGACTCTGGTTTCAATGGTCTCTGTCTTGCAGTCTGGGGTGTCCAGAATAGGACATGGCCTTTACATGCAGTAATGGTCCATTGTATACATGTGAACACTCACAGGCATATTTTCCCGTGGAAGCCAGACAGACCAGTCTAAGTGACTCCTAAAGCCCACAAACTCAATCAGCCCTCTTTGACTGTTGAGACAAAAATGAAACATTATTGGAAACTTAGAATTGGGTAAATTATAACTCGAACTTTTGATGAACATATCTAACGAAAACGCTAACAGTGACCGGCTGTTCCTTAAAACATGCAAGCGCACCCGCGCTCATGTCAGACGCACATTCTGTTACAAGCTAGTGGCTCTTTTCCTGAATGCCATGTTTTAATTCAACCATTTTACAGCATTCTGCAGAATGCAGTCCAGGCCAAAATACATATAAGGCAGATCTTTTTCTTGTTCAATTCTTTCTATTAAATTTCTTCCCTGTCTTCATCTGCATTGTTATGCTCACCATGATGGCAGGATGTACTGAGCTGGCATCTTCTATGAGTGTTTCAAGCAAGCACTGATTAACCCCAAATACAAGAAGACTACAGACTAGTCATTCTGAATTTTTTTAAGCTTTGTAATTTTTTAAATATTTATTGCGATTTATTCATGTTGTATCTCAGCTGTAGCTCCCTCTCTCGTCCCTTCCCAACCCCACCCATTCTCCCTTACCTCCTCCCATGCCCCTTCCCCAGTCCACTGATAGGGGAGGTCCTCCTCTCCTTCTCTCTGACCCTAGCCTATCAGGACTCATCAGGACTGTTTGCATTGTCTTCCTCTGTGCCCTGTTAAGGCTGCCCCTACCTCCTGCCGGGGAGGTGATCAAAGAGCCACCACTGAATTCATGTCAGAGATAGCCCCTGTTCCCCTTACTAGGAAACCCAATTGGAGACTGAGCTGCCATGGGCTACATCTGAGCAGGGGTTCTAGGTTATCTCCATGAATGGTCCTTGGTTAGAGTATCAGTCTCAGAAAAGACCCCTGTGCCCAGATTTCTTGGTTCTGTTGCTCTCCTTATGGAGCTCCTATCCCCTCCAGGTCTTTCTATCTCCCCCTTCTTCCATAAGGTTCCCTGTACTCTGCCCAAAGTTTGGCTATGAGTCTCAGCATCTGCTTTAATACCCTGCTGGGTAGAGTCTTTCAGAGACCCTCTGTGGTAGGCTCCTGACTTGTTCTTTGTTTTCTCCCTCTTCCAATGTCCATCCTGTTTGCCTTTCTGAATGAGGATTGAGCATCTTACCCGGGGTCCTCTTTCTTGCTTAGCTTCTTTAGGTGTACAGATTTTAGTATGATTATCCTATATTACATGTCTAATATCCACTTATAAGACACCATGTGTGTCTTTCTGTTTCTGGAATACCTCACTCAGGATGATCTTTTCCAGTTCTCACCATTTGCCTGCAAATTTCATGATTTCCTTGTTTTTAATTGCTGAGTAGTATTCCATCGTGTAAAGGTACCATAATTTCTGTATCCATTTCTCCATTGAGAGACATCTGGGTTGTTTACATATTCTGGCTATTATGAATAATGCTGCTACCAAAATGGTTGACCAAATGTCCTTGTTGTATACTTGAGTATCTTTTGGATATATGCCTAGGAGTGGTATAGCTGCATCTTGAGGTAGCACTATTCCTAATTATCTGAGAAAGCACCAGATTGATATCCAAAGTGGTTGTACAAGTTTACATTCCCACCAGCAATGGAGAAGGGTTCCCCTTTCTCCACAACCTCTCCAGCATGTGGTCACTTGAGTTTTTGATCTTGGCCATTCTGATGGGTGTAAGGTGAAATCTCAGGGTTGTTTTGATTTATATTTCCCTGATTACTAAGGATGTTGAGCATTTCTTTAAGTGTTTCTCTGACATTCAATATTCCTCTATTGAGGATTCTCTATTTAGCTTGGCAAGATTAACATAGTAAAAATGGCCATCTTACCAAAAGCAGATTCAGTGTTCAGTGAAATTCCCATCAAATTACCAACACAATTCTTTACAGATATTGAAAGAAAAATTCTCAACTTCATATGGAATAACAAGAAACCCAGAATTGCTAAAACAATCCTCTATAATAAAATATCTTCTGGAGGTATCTCCATCCCTGATCTCAAGCTGTACTACAGAGCAACAGTAATAAAAACTGCATGGTCCTGGCATAGAAACAGCCTGGTGGATCAATGGAATCGAAGACCCAGAAATAAACCCACACACTTATGTACACCTGATTTTTGACAAGATGCCAAAACTATACAATGGAAAAAAAATAGAATCTTCAACAAATGGTGCTGGTCTAACTGTATATCTACATGCAGAAAAATGCAAATAGATCCATGCTTATCACCCTGCACAAAACTAAAGTCCAAGTAGAACAAAGACCTCAATATGAAACCAGACACACTAAACCGCTTAGAAGAGAAAGTGGGGAAGAGCCTTGAACTCATTGGCACAGGAGACAACTTCCTGAACAGAACACCAACAGCACAGGCTCTAAGATCAACAATCAATAAATGGGAACTCATGAAACTGAAAATCTTCTGTAAAGCAAAGGACACTGTTGTCAGAACAAAATGACAGCCTACAGACTGGGAAAGGATCTTCACCAACCCTGTATCTGACAGAGAGATGATATCCAGAATATATAAAGAACTCAAGAAGTTAAACAGCAAAAAATCAAGTAATCCAATTAAAAAAATAGGGTAGAGAGTAATTCTGACTTTTATTTCAAAACATCGAATTCCTTAGTAGCCTCAGAGAAGAATGGATGTTCATTTAATAATAAATTTTACTCATTTTTTTAAATCTAAGAAAACTGCAGTCATATTTGAAATACATTTTAATTTGTTGCAAAATAAATTCTTTAGAGAATATATTCAGAACACTTCGGAATATTTTATGGAAACAGGGGAAGCGTCTTAGAGCACCACTTGAAATCATCTGAATAAAATTTGCAGCACCCATGACATACTGTTCACCAAGAGAAAAAAGTTCACATCTACAACATAATTTAGAGTATTTATTTGTGCACAACGTATTTTCTAAAGGTGGTCAGCAAATATTTTATAGACCACATGCTGAGCCCAAACTATCATGTTGACCTTCTCACTTGCTTCCAGAGGAGGTTTGATCAAATAGTTATCTTTAAAAAAGAAAAAAAGGTGAAATTTATCAAAACAGGTTCATCTAATTCATAGCAAAATGCATGTCACTACATCTATGTGCTTAGAACACAGTAATGAATGTGCTCAGTGAACTTTTCATAATAAATTCCTTTTGCTGCATGAGACTGCCTCCCTCATACTTGACTTCTGCAGTGTTTTGATAAAAGTGTCATTTCTTGGTTGCATGCACGCACACGCACACACACACACACACACACACACACACATACACACACACATCATATGCCAATGACAAGGAAACATTCAAAAAATATATTGTTGGGAAATCTTTCCTTGTGCAAACATACAGTGTTCTTGCACAAAGACAGGAGTGACATCTCGACATGATATCCCATTATGGGACCATCATCATCTATGTGATGACACATGGCCACATCTGCATGCTCATGTATATAAAAATATACATTCAGAGTCTCCATCAAGAAACAAACAAATGATAAATTCAGCCAGCCATGGTGGCACACTCATCTAAACCCAGCATTCGGGAGGCAGAAGCAGGCAGATCTTTGTGACTTTGAAGCCAGCCTGGGCTACACAGTGAGTTCCAAGCCAGCCAGGGCCACATAGTAATACCTCATCTCAAAACAAACAAACAAAAAGAACACATACATTTTTTTTTGTTGTTCATTTAGATCAGTTTTACCTGGGTTATTGACAAGTCTTCACACATAAGGGGTGTGTGTCATATATGTATGTGTGTGGTATGTTGCACTGTGATATATATATATATATATATATATATATATATATATATATATATGTGTGTGTGTGTGTGTGTGTGTGTGTGTGTGTGTGTGTGTATGTTATATGTGCATGTGTTTGCACACATGTGCACTTGGGATTACATTGAAAAGAATGTTAGTATGATAAGTGAAGATTTCTCATATGTTATGGACCCAGAGAAGTCCAGAGAACAGTGCCAAGCCTTAGCAAATGTGCACACTGCTTGGTGTCCCACATAGGTGAATTCTTTTCAGGAGCCTGTGAGGACACGGCTGGTAAGGTTGAGGGTTCTGGAAGCCTGTTTGGCCTTATGAAAGGCATCATAAACATCACTGGAGCCTGACAGGAAGTGACCAATTATATCAAGAGTAGCTGGAAAAAATTACAGCTTGAGGCCTGTCAGGATTTGAAGGGATTTGGAGAGAACAAAACAGTGAAGGTTAATGTGCCGTGTCGGGAACACATCTCCACAGGGAGCATATTAAGCTGAGTCCAGAATGAGCCAATCCAACATTTATTCTCTTTCACTGCTTGTAGGACTCATCAAGAGAAAAACGGCCTTCCATATGCCAAGAGCATGGCAGCGTTAAGGTTTCTAAGGCGCATAAAAAGAGGTAATTATCCAGGGTTCTGAACTTGGAGAGAAGTTAAGTTTGAGGCAAACACATAGCAGCATTGGGGGATGCTGAGGCCATGTGCTCTTTGTGTTTCACGTCCAAGTAAACCGGAAAGGCTAAATTCCTAGTGAGATGAAGCGAACTTTTAGGAATGAGGGAGCAGCAAGTGAGAGTGGAAGAGAAATGGAGTAGCCCAGGCTGGCCTCCAGTTCACTGGCTGAGGATGATCTCAGAACTGCTGATATCCTTGCCTCTACTTTCCAAGTGCTGGGCTTGCAGGCATGGCCCACTGCTGCTGACTCAGCTAAGGCTCCTCTCTCTAAATTACACACCGCCAGCTCTATAGACAAAACAGTAGCTTCGCTGCAGCCTGGAGTAAGGCACACACCGCTGTAGCAGGGCTCGGGGACCTGGCGGCAATGTTACAGAGCAGGGCTCAAGGATGGGTGTGTTCAGAGACGAGACAGACAGGGAAGGGAAAGATGGTGAGGGACACTGGGGAGCAGGATTAAGAATCAGTCTCAAGAGTAAGGAGTCGAGGCATAGTGGTTGGCCTAGGACCTACCAGGGCACCTCAAGCCATCAGCTCAAGGCTCCCCAGGAAGAGTGCAGCAAGCTCATGAACTGATGGCTCATAGGTAGCTGCTTGGTTTGTTTTCTGCTCCAGGGACTAACACCAGACAGTGCCCAGGGAGTCAGCCCCCTGCATAAGAACAGGCTGGATAGCTGTGGCGAGAGTCATAGGACAGGGTTCGTGGGTCCCGGGTCACAGGGGAAACCAGGGCTCTTTCTTGTTAGTAAAAGAACTAGCTTTCCTGGTGGATATGCTTTCTTTTAAATCAAGTGTGTGTGTGTGTGTGTGTGTGTGTGTGTGTGTGTGTGTGTGTGTG